ACCTTCACTGTTGTTGCATTCCCAGATTATGTATCATTCCGGTAAAATCGCGCTGTTGCGGTATTTCATGGCAATTCTGAGTATATTAATTCTGTATCCTGCTGATACGCCATCTCCATTAATTGAATGGGTACATTTATTTGGAAGATTACACTGCTTTTACTTGGCCAATCAACTTCTAAGCAACTATGAAGGTCGCTGTACTTGGTACATAAAAAATAATAAAATCATTTTCCAAACCCAGGAAGTGTGCACCAGCTGGTGATGCGATCTGGACCCTATTCCTGACCACCTTATCCCAGTCGCTGCTCCCTCTCTCTTTCTCCCAAATCCGCCTGAGCACAGCCCTGTTCTCTCTTCTGCTCCTAACATCACTACTGTAAAAAGGATATTTTCCTGATCCAAGCACAGTTGGAAGTCTCAAATAATCCCATTTCAGACCAATTAGTCCCAAAACTTGTTTGTTTTAATATACAAGTGTGTAAGTTATTATTTGAAATAGTGTCACCTTGGAAATAGAAAAGAGTATCTGGTAATATTTGGAAAGGTACCATCACAACTTGGTATTAAATCTGTCTTTTTGAGAGAATTATACTACAAAGTTATATTTCCTGGGGCTCAGCACTTCAACAACTGCAAGCTTTTTAGAACAAACACTCTAGGAATTAAATAAAAAACCAAGCCAAACACAAAACCAGTAGCTGTCCACCTGCTGTAGAACGAAAAGAAAACAAACCCCCAAACTAAAACAAAACAAAAACCCCACCATAACAAAACAAAAGCCTAGAAAAAAAAATCCGAGAATGTGTTTAGTTAAGGTATTTGAGGAACTTTCAAGCATATTTACCTCAGGTAAAAGCTCAAGACCACTGGATGTTTGTACAGCTCCTGCACTTACTCCTCTGTAATTACCTTCCATAGGAGACTAATGAACAAAACACTGTTATGAAGTAAAGTCAAATGTTTAAGCAAATTCAGATGTCTGTGGTAGGGGAACTGGCCAGTAAGACATATCTGAGAAGTTTACACTGTACCTTGCCCTTGAAGAAGCTGGCTTGGTGTGAGACCACAGCCCAGTACAGCACTTCAGGTCTGTGCTTCCTCTCCAATGTATGGATTAGATTCACTGATGTCAGCAAGACTTTCCACATTTTAAACTGAGGTACGTGTCCAAATATTTTTCTTTTGGGTTCAACAGATCATTCCCCATTCCTAAGATTATATAGAACATTCCCCACAAAAAGCACCAAAAAGGAAAAATGAATTCCTTCCTCAGCACCCCTCTTCCTCTGAGCCAGCGAGGGCTCCTTGTGCAGGGCTCTCTGGGTGAACAACAGCCTTTAGAGTGTTTTAGGGGGGCATTTCTGCTCACCTTTGATCCAGCTCTATCCCCACATCAGGCAGACTGATGGTAATAGCTGAGAAGTCCATATGGCAATATTTACCAAAAATATCAATGAGTCACCTGTCTTCCTGATGCTTTGGAAAGCAAGGCTTTGTCTTTATCAATACTACTCTATTCTAGCCCAAGGCCTGACAGGCCTTTCTTGCTTTTGGAAGACCCAAAGGAGATGAAGTTACACCAAAAATTCCTTGAGAGTAAGAAAGCAGAGATGGAGCAACATATTTCCCCCTTTGTGATCAAGGTAAGCGGAAATGCTTAAACATATTTTCCAGTGATGTACAATTTGAGTTATGTTAAGTGAATCTGTCCCCCAAAACACAAGAGATGGGAAACCACAACTCTGATCTGCTCTTTTCTTTCTCACTGACAGCAGTGCTGGCATGAAGGGTCCCCCTGAACACCTCCTCCTTTTTGCACTGAGGCTTTCCCTCATGCCACACAGCTACTAGGTATTTTTCACCCTTGTGGTCGTCTATCATTAAAATGACAAACATTAAAAGCTGTGAGTTCAGTGAACTCACACAGGAGGCCAGTGGAGATGATGGTAGAGCAGCTCCCTCTAGCCAAAATTACAGCACTGAGCATTCTCAAGTCACTGTAAATGCCAGCAAACTCTAACATGGCATTATAGAAAGCTAATGAAAACAATTTGTTATTTAGCACAACAGCATTAAATGTGGTTTAGATTAAAGGCTTCCCCCTTCTCAGCATGAAAAGCGACACACAGATGACCTAGAGCAGGATCTTTCTGACAAAACTTGGGTCCATTTTATTAATGAGAAGTGCTGTAACCTGAGGAACACATTGGACAGCATCAACTGTTGCCCTGGAGTGGAAAAAGCAGCTGAAACTGAGTGTGAGTAGCTACAGTAGCCTTTCCTTTGAGTGCTCGCTGCTGAGCACAGGCCCTCCCCTTACAGCTTAGGGTGATGTAGGAAGAAGTGGCTGCTCTGTCTCAGGGCCCTGCTCTGCCCCGGTGTGAGATCCTCCCCCAGCAGTCACTCCCTGCTCTGCCCCGGTGTCAGAGCCTCCCCCAGCAGTCACTCCCTGCCTGCTGCCAGTGGCCGCTGGTGGAGGGCAGCAGTGGCACCTGAGCAGGGCTGTGCTCGGAGCTGCTTTCTCAGAGACAGCTGTGCTGTGCTGTCCTCACCCCCCAGCTCCACTGGAATGTCCCCTCTGGTTCTGATTTACTGTTCTGTGCCTTTCAGGTTACAACTCCGCACCAAATCAAATCAAAATCCAGCTGAGGTGCAGGTAAGGGCAGTGCAGCAAACAGCACATGAGTGTCTGACACAGACGTCACGTACTGTCTGTAAAAGAGCTTGGGTTGTTGGGACCTTTGTGCATTTGACACAGCCCCAATGTTACAGACTGACACAAAATTACAGAACTAAAATGCCCCATTTGTATGTGGTTTAAAACTGTTGATTCCCATTGGTCTCGTCATTGCAAGAGCAGTGGCAGCAGCGGAGCAGTTTGCAATAGAGGGCAGTGTCTCTGTGCTAATGCCTTGTCGGCTCCCTGAGCACTAACACAGCAGGAATCCAGCGGTGAATGCGCTTCATAATCTCAAATGATAACGACTCTGTCTTGTTGGAAGGAGAAAAAATAATCGGTATTATTTGTTTACTTATGTTCTGTTTTTCATTAAAAGATCACCTCATTCACTACTGAAACGAGGGCATATCCAAAGGAAACTTGGCAAGCATTCTGCTGACTCCAGTACCACTACCTACTTTTAGGATTAGCCATGAATAAAATTATTCTTGTCAGCTCTAGTAAAAAGCAGATTAATGTGGATAAATTTTGCAGACCTTTTCCTTTCTCACCATCTATTATCCAAAAAACGACATTATTCATTAAAGTTTTCCTGAAACCCTTTGGCAGTCTGAGACATACCTGCAGCACTCAGGAGCAGAGCAAGTACCTTCTGCTTCAAAAGACCCAGATCAATAAATTACAGTCTGAAAAAGCAATGTTAAAGAACAGATCAAGTACTAAGATTTCAGATAATCAAGATGGAAACCTACTTAGAAATTTAATTTTCTGATGGAAAAATAAATATAATCCATCAGATCATAGAGAACGGGAAAGAAACCCAACCCCAAATATCCTGCAGGAAATAGACTGAGATTGTCTGGGTCAGTAGCTGTGAGCGGTGCCAGCTCAGATTCAGTACACTGATTTATACACTTTACTACTGTATCAGGCTGGTTACCTGAAGCTTTTCAGAGCAGCTGCCTAAGTAAGTGTGCAGCACTAAGGAATTCCAAATCACTTAGGAAGGTCAGTATTTCAGCTTGGAGACCCTACAGATTATTGAAAAAAATGCTACTGAGAAAATACCACTGACAAAACCGAAAGTAACCTTTTCTTTTTGCATCCTTTGATACTTACTCTCATTGTTCAATTAAAATCTAGAGTAATGTGAACTGAAAAAAATAGTGACTTATCCCTGCAAAGTTTAATGTGCAGACCTAATTCTTAGCATAAAGCTTTGTACGGAGAAAGAAGACTAAATGCAGACAGA